TTTCAAGAATCAATTTAATTGTCCAAAAGTCTATTTTATCCCTTCTTTATAATTAGCGTATTTAACTCATATAATGTCAATATCTAAATAATTATATAGGATATTCAGACATATATATTTACAAAAATATTATACATGTATATATATAGCCACCTATCTTTTCATTATGCAGAACACGAACTTCTGAAATTTACATGATATATTTAAATATAGAGGGATTGGTATAGTTACAATGCAGAATAGCATAAACCAACACTTTTTCTGTTTACTAAAAATAATATAACTTAAAAAAACAAAGAAAAAAATTTTTACTTTATTTTAATTTAAAATAGAAGATGCCCCATTGGGTGTCAATCATTAGTATACTGTAGTGCAAGCGACATAATGAAGATCACTAATCAAGATTTTTTATAGACCAACGATAGTGTAATAGTAAAAACATAAAAATTCAAACTGTAATAACCCTTGAACCAGCAAACACACACAAATAAAATTATATTGTCGGATTCATTTCAGCATTTTAGTGTGTTCCAACGTCTTTTTTTTATTTACTTAATTGTTTGGAGTATAACAGAGGATTTAATTGTCATTTTTGATGTTTTTTTAATAACTTTCTATAGTATTGTATGCAATGATGATCGACAAAAAATCCTAGACAATGCAGTTTCAGAAAATGGAGCTTGAAAGAACTGAAACCCTGCTATATTTGATTGTAGAATCCTTAATGCTTCAATATCAGAAGCTGCCAATAATGTAAATACCGAAACTACTTTTCCATAATTAATAAACCACGTAAAGAATTTTCGGTTAGTGTTTTCATTCATAATAATCCAAAATGCTATGATTACGTTCAGTCCAATAGGAACAACTAAAAAGACAAGACTTTTGAAATAAATTTGGAAATTTCAATAAGTTATTTTTACATTTACCAATAAAAATAAATGAATAAATAAATAATAAACATTTTTACCTTGGAATGTAAAGCCATGGAATGTCATTTGAATTTTCGATGACAAAAAGTAAATGGACAATCAAATCAAATACGATTAAACCAAGTTGAAGAATAGCAATATTTTGACCCTGTTTAACAAGTTATGTTAAAAATCGCAAAGACCTTGCTTTGTGTGCAGAAATTTTAATTTAAAAAATTACCTTTGGTTCTTTTTGTCGAGCGCCTAAGAATAATATTACAAATATAGATAAAGCCACGAATAATCCGACTAACTTGAGTTTGTATGTTTGCCATATGTTTGCTATTTAACAAAAAAACAGCTATTTAATAAACCAATTTGACAATAATTGATTACCAATATAAATTATTCTCTTACGAGATACTTTAAATCCATAATTTTTATCTAAATATTTTGTAACATTCCCAGCAGATATCATAGTAATATCAATATTTCTTATCATTGCGTCTAAATCTTGTATGACTAAAGGAACACTTCGATCTATATTATTCTTCGGATCACTAATAGTAAGCGAAATTAGATCTTGTTCTGAAGGTGTTCCACCGTTTATAGTTTGAGAATTTTCATTCGAACTTAATCTTTCTGGTTTCACAGGAATAATCTGAGAAAGTTCACTTATTAAAGACGCAAAAAAGGCTTTTTTTAGCACTTTTGTTCATTTGACGAAACACCCGAGTTCCATTTGTTGTTAGGCATAGCAGTCCAGTGGTATCCGCTGAAAAGAAGAATCGATATCAACTATAAATTATAAATAACTGGCATAAAATAAACAGATTAAATTCTTTACCTGCGCGCGTGAAATTCTCCAAAGGAGCTGATTTATCATTGAATACAATTATTAGATGTCAAATATGGAAATATAAAGAGTAAATATTTAACGCGTATAAAACCTAAGGTGAACAGCCAAGTACGAGGTTGAATGCCCAGAAGAGGTTCTTTAAACGATTGACTTCTTACGAAATTGTTATCAATTTGCACATAATATTTTTGGCCAGGATTATTGAAAGTGCTAGGTATCACATTGATAGTCACACTCTTGCCATCGTTGGAAAGAGTACAAAATTGATTATTGTTACCGGAAACAACTTGCCGAACAACCGCATTATCAGAATCAATAATTTGATATATAGTAATATTTCCTTCCGATAAATCAACTTGGTTGTAATATGTGATAGAAATACTAGAGATATTCGATGAAACAGTGGAATTTATTTCTGGATATGAAGAGTTTACCTGAAAATTTTGATAGCCGTGGTCTATAATTTATAAAAAAAAAAAAAAAATTAGGAATGACTCGAACCTAAATAAAATAATGAATTTGTATGATAACGAATTAAATTGTTTTTACCCTGATTTCCGACAAATCTTGGCAATTCATTTACAAGAAGACTCCAAGAAGTTGGAGTTTCAACTTGAGCTAGCAAAAGAGTATTGTTACTTAAAACATCATGAATACCGGCAAAATTAGTGGGTTGAGGTTCAGTTAACTCCCATGTAACTTGTTGATCCGATTCATTAAACAAATAAAGAAAAAAACCTAAACTAGTGGAGCTTATTAGCCTATAAGTCGTTAATATATAACCTCCATAAGCCAGTGAAGCGACATCATATTCAATAATGTTTGGATCAGGATTCAATTTTGGAATTGTAGTTAAGGATATTACTGATCCTGAAGAGAGA